GTCCAGGCAGTCACCGCAGAATCGGTAATGACTGAGTGCGGATAAAAAACAACAACCTAGTAATTGGTGGTTGGGCAAAAAATGGAATCTGAAGATCAACCCAACTGGAGGACATCAGGTTTCAGAAAGCTGATTTGTTTATATGAAGCCCTGTAACACTCAAAACTCTCACATATGTAAGAGAGATGATTAGCAGTACCATATGATCTTGGCTTGTAATGCAGAAGTGCTGGACTCTGTTTATTTTCTACAGATAATCACTTTGCAATGTACATATATACCAGTAGAGGACACCTTCTGCTTCAGTATAATAGCCTGCTCTTAAAAATGATCTTATTAATATAATAACATAAACTGAATATAAAGAGAGAACTTTTCTAACTGGGGCAAAGTTTACAAAGAATTGTCTAGAGGAAATGTATCCCTGGAGCTATAAAACCTTGGGAGTGTCTCAGAGAGAAAATAAAAATGAAATTGATGATTAACATCAGGGCCTATGAAGTCAGAAGCAAAAGGGCTCCATGGAAAATAGGGTAATCACTTAGGTGGGCAGATTAGGAACTTGGAGATCCATTTTTTTTCCTAATTTAAATTTCTGTCAAAAGACCTCTTATAGTTCCAGTGCTGGCACCTTGACCTGAGTGCCTCTGAAAGGTTCTTTTTAAGGACCAAGTGTCTCTGTGCATGCACGCAGCGCCTTTTATTTATGAAAGGAGGCAACTTCTGTTGGTTAAAAACTCATACACAATCAGAAAGACCAAAGGCTCATAGGAAGCTGCCTTAATATCAGTTTACAGCCCATAAGTGGCTTCTTGGATTAACGGCAACATTACAGGTTCTCAAGCAGAGAAAGCTTTTTGCTCATCACATTCCCTCTTTTTCTTCCTTTTTGAAATGGAAATTGCTAGGGATTGAACCTGAGATTTTGCATTTATAAAATTGTGCACTCAACATTGAAATACTGTCCCTCTGCCTAAAATTCTCATGACAAGAGTGAATAAAATATATTTGGGCTGGAAACAAAATTTTAAAGGTCAGATTGCCTTAGGTGCACAGAGCAGATGCACACAGGGCTTATAACTTAAAGCATCTTAATAACAATAAATCATTTTTTTAGGAAATATGAAAAGCAACAGAAAGGTCCCCTTGTTTTAAATATGTATTAGCCAGCAACAGATTAAGAGATGAAATTTCTAGCTTTGCAGGCCCAGGGATAAAATTTCTAGCTTTGGCTGGTTGGCATCCCTACATATTAAATGAGATGCTAGAAAAATATTATTTTGTATTTGCCTAAATATTAAGAAAAATCATCAACGTTTCAATGGTAATGTATTAATCTTTTTACTTACTTGCCCCTGCTGAATGAACTGTGTCAATTGCAAACCTCTAATGTGTTGCAAGCATCTCAAAAACTGATTCATTATTTAGAAAATTGGCCCTTGCTTTTCTCCCTCTTTTCAGAGCTGGGTAGAATTTATATCCCAGTGACTTCATCTAGAACAGTGTTTCTCAAACTTGGCAACTTTGAGATGTGTAGATTTCAGCTCCAAGAATTCCCCAGCCAGCCTGGCTAGGGGATTCTAGGAGTTGAAGTTCACACAGGTTAAAGTTGCCAAACTTGAGAAACCTTGGTCTAGAGCTTGAAAGCATTGTTGTCACACTGGAGAGACAGCCTGCCATGCTGCTGCCACACACCTTGTCTTCAAGGCTGATCTAGTGCAAGAGAGAGACTAAGGATATTCTCAGTGCCTCTGCTGGTTTTTTCCAAAATCAGTCCTCCCTTGCAAGTGCCTTCTTAGCAGCCTATCATGGGGGGCAGGAGGAGGGGAAAATATTGTCCACGCCAACAGAGAGACCAACGCTCACAAAGGCCTGTTACCAAATGTATGGACTTTGGGTGTTTTGAAGACAGAAAGAAGAAACATTTGCTTCTGTTTTTGTGAAGGAAGGAGACAGGGTTATTTTTTTAAATCATAGAACACTGGAAGCTTCAGGGCAATGCACTCAGCAATTGATTTGGAGCAAGGAGAGTGAACATTCACTGACCGGCCTTCTCTGGGCTTAGTTATGGGCTTGGTTGGCTGAGCAGTAATTGGTTGAAGGTGCTGTTTGAGAGTTCCAGAGCCATAACATACAGAGGACACCATGCTGAAAGCCTTTCGGACTTGTAGACAAGTAGGACAAAGGGGAAGAATGGTGGATTGGCCTTCAAGTGGGCAAAAGCATTGCAGGTGGTAAGGCTGGTGATGTGGCAGAGCTCTTTATCTGATCACAGTACTGTATGAGTTCCTAATGACCTTCAGATGTAATGCTAAAGTTCAGACTTGTATTGCGTGAAGAAATCTGGAGGAGTATTGGGCATTTCTGCCCAGCTGTAAGTTCAAAAGCTTTCAGTTTTGTTTTCAGTTAGCCAGAGTTATTGATATGCCTGATCCCTAAATTGTGCTCAACTTTAACCATGGTTTATACACCAAGAAGTTGGTATTTCATTAAACCACAGTTAATACTAATTGGCTTCAGTCATAATGCTGTTTTCGTCAACCACCAAAATGAAAATGCCACTTTTTCCCTTATTACAACAAGGGGAGAAGAAGACAGTGCTGAGTCTTATCAAGGGTGTTCATATATCACTGCACATAACTGAGGTCAAGATGTAAAAATGAAATATAGGAAATATATGTGGCTGTGGCTAACTGCCCCTTTGTGCACTCAGATTTTCTGGTATGTATAATTATTGTTTTCCTTTCACACTTCATCTCTGTACTGTAACCACACCTTTGTACCCTGGTCCATGAAATATGATTTGTGCCTTAACAATGCAAAACTATTGTTACTGTTTTTTATTCCTGCTGCCAGAAGAAAACAAATAAAAAGGCCATAAAACCACATCACATCACATGGGCATTAGGACTGGCTAGATGAGAAAATGCAGAAAATAATGTTCTAGTAGGGTAGTCAGACAGTAAAATGATGAAAAGCAGAGCAGAGACGGGCAACCTGCAACCCCAGGCTTGCAAATAGCTCTGATCTTCTTCTTTGGGCCTGTCTTTGCAAAGCCTCTATTGATGAAAACTGGGGACATAATTTCTTAGTTTGCTAAGGAACGAAATCCATTAAACTATAGCGCAAGTCCTGCAATAGTTTTGTTTAGAAATATGAGAATTTTCCCAGATTCCCCCTTCTCCTTTGCATAACTGCTCCATTTATTTTAACCCAACAGGGTTAGGCCGGGTTATCCCCCCCCCCCACCTTGTATTGGGTTGGAGGGTTTTCTTCTTGTTACTTACTTGCCAGAGCGTCCCTTCTTCTCGGAGCACAGCAAACACCATCCCCATGGGGATCATCAGGCATGAGAAGATCCCCATTAGGATGCCCAGAGCCTCAGCCCAAAATGGAAAGCAGTAAGTGCCATTGTACTTTGAAGGCTGGTACTTGATAATGCTGTACACAAGCAGGGCCTGAAATAGAACATCAGACATCAGAGAACCAATCTGCCCTAGCAGTTTGCATTTCATTTCAAACTTAAATGTTACAAGTTAATTAGGTATATATCATACTGCTCAACAGATGCAATATTAATCCCATAGGGCTAGTATAGTGGCACTGTGAAAGATCAGCAAGGAGATACTGGGATGGACTCTTTTTTCCTTAGGTACATAGAATTTTATAGTCCCATGTAATGTGGGTATATAAATCGTTGAGGATTAATGCAGAATTAAGTAAGTATTTATTTTAGTCACTAAAGGATTATCCCTTGTTTTGTTTGTCATTGGTATGGAACACCTGTGCAGAGTGAAATGAACTTTCTCAGCTTCAGCAGAAAACCTTGGGATGGTCTCATCACCACCTTGTATAAACAAATACTCCTCCTTGGTGGGAATAGGCAAAGCATTCCAAGAACAAGATAAGATAAACTTTTCCTCCTTGTCCTTGGCAAGATCAAGTGAGATGAGGCCACTGAAAACAGGGGTGATTAATTATGGTTTAGAGCCCATATAAGCTGCTCAGAAACCCCCATGAGATGGGACTTTGATGCAGACCTAACCAGGAGGGTGCTGCATATTTGCTAGCTATGAAGGGGTCTGCTTGCCTTCATCTCTTTGGAGTCCCTTGACTGGCAGAAAGGGTGCAAGGACATTCTTTCTTTTCCTTAGTCCTTCCAGTATTCTTGGATATTCCTTGATTGTTATCTTATATTGTGTTCTTTCCTCATACTGCCATGGAATAAAGCCTTAAGTACTCAAACTTAAGTGTGTTCATTGCTTCTAAATCCAGAAGTGCCTGTGACCCAACCCTGCTGAGCTGGGAGCACAGCAATGCAGCAAGGATAAAAAGAATCCCTGGGTGGCAGACGTGGGGTCAATAGGAAGAGCTAGCAGGAAAAATGCTTCAGAAATACCATAGTTACCATCATTGTTACTGGAGACAGGAACAACCAGCAGGCCCTAAAGTATATCCCTGGTTTGAAACCCAGCATCATGTGAATATCACAGCAAAATCTTCTCATGCCTATGGGAAACAGTGGGAAAGTATATCATCTGAATGAAACTAACTGATGAACTGTTCAACTCTATGTATGTTTATTCAAAAGTTTTACAATGTTCAGTGAGACTTTCCCGCAGGAGAGCATGCATGAGATTGTAACCTGAGAGGAAGTCCCACTGAATACAGTAAGGCTAACTTCCAGGTAAGCAGGCACAAGTTCCTGCTGTTCAAGACACACAGTCTGTAACTTCCGCACAAGATTTTAAAATTTATCCAGCAGCGTAAATCTCTGGGATATAATGTGAAAGTTGTTGCAGTATTTAAATCAGCTTCATGTGACTTTAGAGAAAAGGTCACTTATTCTGGATTTTGGCCACCTTTTTCCTAAATCCCAAGCCTTTGCTCCACAAATTACACTGCATACATTTTTGCATTTCCCATTTCACTTTTAAAAAAGGGTTTACTACAATTCCAAAAATGTCTTACCATAAACACGTGTCACTACCAGGCAGGTAGTAATGACCACCACCATGAGCCCAAACCCAGCACTGTAGTCATCCAGCAGCACCAGCCAGTACATTCCACCCTGCAGAGAAAAAGCCAGAAACATCCAAAGTCTATCCCCCAAATATTTATTTATTTATTTGAATGTATAAGCCACCAACTCCATCTTATTAGAGCAGAACAATTTAAAAATATATTTAATGGAATACTACTTTGGTTTCTGAATAAAGCGGTTTGGGCCAAAATATTATAACTATAGGCTAGGTTTCATTACCTAAATATTCAAAAGGAATAAATACTATAATATGCTAAAAGGCTAAGGACATCATCCTAAGAAACGGATAAGACACTGCTCAGATTTTGAATGTTGAGCTTTAAGTAGCTGCAATTAACTGTTAATAGAAATTAGCCTATTTGGTTGGGTAGAAGGATAAGCCACATGTTCTGCTTTGCTGATCTTCTCTTGTACTTGTCACATAGTTTACTAGATAATATCTGAACTCCTCTTTATTCTTTGCCTTTTTGCCCCTTTATCCTAATTCAGTATAGGTTGTCCTTGTAAGTACTCGCCTAGATGCTTAGCTGAAAGCTCCAGCCGGTGCGACCTCTGCCAATCCACTTTGCTTACCTCCGTTGTGAGAATGAGCCCCATTAGAAACATTGCAACACAAACGATGCCCGAGAAAAAAGCCTTCTTAACTCCTCTTTATTCTTTGCCTTTTTGCCCCTTTACCCTAATGCATTATAGGGTGTCCTTGTAAGTACTCGCCTAGATGCTTAGCTGAAAGCTCCAGCCGGTGCGACCTCTGCCAATCCACTTTGCTTACCTCCGTTGTGAGAATGAGCCCCATTAGAAACATTGCAACACAAACGATGCCCGAGAAAAAAGCCTTCTTTGGTCGCAGGTAATATGGGAACTCATCGGTCACTGCAGTAACAATGGTCTCTAGAAAGGCAAACTGAAGACAAAAGTATGTGATCGCATCAACTGTAAGGTCCATTCATTTGAAGGTACACAGCTGAAGCCTATTCTCTCAGCAAGCCTCGCCCTTACCTGACTGTCCAGGCCAAGAGTCAACAGCATGAAGAAAAAGAGGAAAGACCAGAAAGGAGAAAGAGGAAGCATTGTCATGGCTTGAGGATACACTACAAACGCCAGCCCTGGACCTAGAAGACAGGCCAAGAATGAGAAGGATTACGAGTGCAGTCAAGGAGACATTATTAGAGCTGGATTTCATGAATATCAAAATCAGGTCACTGAACAAGGGAGATTATAGCTCTCACTGAAACTGCTTGCTCACACTGTCACACAAACTGCATTTTGATTGCTGGATGTGGGGAACTGCAAATGTGTGATTTCTTTTCATTCATTCATTTATTGGCCTCGTATGCAAAGAACTTGGCTGGGCATGATTTAGAGATAAAGGCATTTATAGTTGGGGTTTTTTTTCTTTTCCATAGTTGGTTTTCTTTTTTCATTGTTGACTCCTGGTGACTGCATAGAGTAGTCCTAGCAGTTTTCTTGGCAGCATTTTTGGAAGTGGTTTGCCATTGCCTGCTTCCTAGGGCTGAGAGAGAGGGATTGGCCCAAGGTCACCCAGCTGGCTTTGTGCCTAAAGCAGAACAAAAGTTCACGCTCTCCTGGTTTCTAGCCAGATGCCTTAGCCACTACACAAAACTGGCTCTGTTCCTTAGGTAGCTGAGTGTTTTCAGTTGCCCCTTTTGCAATGTGAATGGGGTGGGACTGGGACTCTTCTGAAGTTCATGTGGGTAAAGAATTATAGTCCACATGTAATCAGTCAGAAAATGTGTTTCATAACTTCCATTTTAATTCTTCCCTAGATTGATCAGTTAATGCTAGCTAACTCCTGCTGGACACATTCATACATTTTTCTTGGCAAAAGTACAGATGTGGTTAGTGATAGCCAATTTCTTGATTACAATGCTAATGAGATTTAAAACCTTTTATTGTTGATCCCATTATATTTTCATTTTATCACAGAGCGATGCACAAACAAGAAAATAAATCTCTTCTTTGCCTATGGCTCATGTGATTAGCTTGGAGACGCTATCAATAATTTTGTTCAGTTCTTCTTTGTCTTCTGTTATCTGCTTATTCTACTGCCTTTAATCTTTCCAAGCATCAACATCTCCTCCAAATACTCTTCTTCCACATTATGTGTCCAAAACGCTTAAACTTTAGCCAGTTGGAGGAGGCTGTTCAAATGGTGGCCAGGGTTGGCAGGGCTGGAATTTCAGCCAAATGAACCTCAAGTTCTTGGGAATGTTTGCACTCTCCTGCTGGACACAAAGCAGCACAGCACAGACCTGCTCCAGGTGTGCAATAAGGGCACACTGTGAGGGCAGCAAAATTTAGGATGCCACAGTTTCCTACCGATTCCAGGATGGGAGGAGAGCACAATGAAGCAGTTGCATAGACGTAGCCTAGGAGTGGGGAAATTCCAGTTCTAACTCTCAACCATGGAAGCTTACTGGGAGATGCTGGGCTAGTCACTTTCTCTCAGCCAACCTATTTCACCAGGTGGTTGTGATGGGGAAAAATAGGAGGAGCAAATGCTACACGCACCACCTTAACCTCCTGAATGAAAGGGAGAATATACATGTAATAAAGAAATAAATCTAATTTCCCTTTCCAAAATGTCTGGCTTTAGCTCAGTGATCATACTTTTGTATATATCAATGATCTGGGAGTCATCCTTGTACAGTTCTTCTATTTGTACCATTTCTCCTTTATATCAACTTTCTCATTAGATCTTGATTTTTATTGTACCCATGTTTGTGTAAAAGTGTCATTTGATTCTTTTAGCTTTCTTAAATCTCTTGTCCTTTCCATTCAATTTTTTTTTCTTCCTCAATTTCTTTACATTGCTTATTTAGATATATCCGATTGTCTCTTCTTGTTTTTATCTGGAATTTGGCACTTAGTAGGATAAATTTTCCTCCGTCACTGCAGCACTTATTCTCTAGCAGTCTAACACTTAGACATTCTAACCCATACACACATACATACTTGTAAAAAAGAGGATGGAAGGAATGTTTAGGTTTTACCTGCTTTGGCAACTTCCTGAACAGGAACATCAAGTTCTTGGGACATGTAGCCCAAAACAGAAAAGATGGCAAAGCCAGCCAAAATGCTGGTAACAGCATTGCCCACGGTGACTATAAATGTATCCCTACAGAACAAAAAAATACAGGAGCTCAATCATTTGATCTCAGACATTATAGAATGTCTAAGGAGATATAAGGTAATGAAGAACATGCTTGCCTGTTATTAATGCAAAGATAGAGTATATCCACCTGCCAGATGTTGAACTCCAACTCCTATCAGCCCTATCTAATATGGCCACTGATGAGATGTATTAGCAACCATGACCCAATAAAGATCTGGAGGGTCACATTTTACCCACCCCCATATTAAAAGAATATTAGAACATCCATATATGTCCACTTCACACTATTCCCTTTTGGGGAAAGCAATGTTATGCAGACTAGCATGGAAACAAGAAACACAGTGTGCCCTGGCACATGGAAATCTGGAGATCTTAAGAAATGCACCATTGCTAGATGTTTCAGTATGAAAAAGCAGTGGATGTAAGAATTCTCACAAATTTGAGAATTAGTGGAGACAAAGAGATCATAACAGACAGGAACATAATGCCAAATATCTTTTTGTTACCCACCTGACATTGCAAAAGAGAACTAGACTAAGAAGGTATACTGTATGAATACAAACTGGGTTTTTGCTGAATTTCTGCAGGATGCTAGAGAGAATTTGTTATTGCTGTTGTTATTGTTACCATTTATTTGATTTGTATGGGTGCCCATCTCATCTAAGCAACTCTGGGCAGCTCGCAACAAGTAAAACATAATCCAATAAAAACAAGTTAAAAACCAATATACAAATATATAAAAACCATCCATAATCAATTTAAAACAAAAAATAAGGATCAGCAGCAGAATGCATCCTTACATCAACTCAACACAGCCATTGTAAAAGTTCCCCACCATTGCCAGGCCCCAGGCACAGCACAGAGCCGTGTCTTCAGAGCCAATGAATCCTTTCCCCCTTCCTTTCTCCCTTTCTTTCCATTTTATAACCCTAGCTGTATATCCGTAATTGCCATTTCTCTGCCTATTACCCCATCCATGATTCTCTTTAAAGCACAGAAAACAATAATTCTCTCTCAGTGCATTCCATCTCCATTACATACAAATTGAAAATATATACCTGTAAATATTCTGGTGGAAGGTATTATATGATGCAAAGGTCAGAAGTCCCCCAAATCCTACCCCAAGAGAGTAGAAGATCTGCAAAGCTGCTTCAATCCACACCTGCATTGGAAGTGGAAAACAAGAAGTTAAATCATTTCAATAAACAAGCAAGCAAACAGTATTGGATACTACAGCTTTTACCCACAACCATGTGCAAGATATCTTTTTCAACAGCATGGATATAAAAGTAACTCAAAAAGGATGCAATTGAATGTTTTGTGCAGGGAATGTCTGGTGCTCACTAGAAAGAGTGTGCTGGGCTTTCCTTGCACAATGTTTTTCAGGCATAACTTTTATTGTGATAAAATTCTAAAGAAAAATGTTACCAAAACATCGCCATCCATCACTACCTGAAGTTGTTCCTAAATGAATTTGGAAATGTGCAACGTATGTCTTCCCTGCCATAAGTGCTCATCGTATATGGGAGACATAAAATGCTACTTGGCATATAGTAAAGAAATATGAAAAATTATTCGTACTTTCTCCTTTGTGCAACAATGCCCTTTGTGTGGATGGGCCCACTCAAATATATTTCAGGATCATATATAGGCTTTGAGACCTTAAATGAAGAACTTTGAAAAATGTTAAGGATGCCTTGTTCAGTGCCTGGTGCATGCGGTTTTCTTGGCAGCACTACAGAAATGCCATTGCCCTCTTTTAGGATTTTTTTTAAACTTCCCAGTCCACCCAAAGGTCTGGAATTCCCAGGTGGTCCCCATCTAAGAATGAAGCAGGGCTGATTCTGCTTAGTTTCTGAGATCACCTGAAACATGAAGTAGTCAAAATTAAATTCTGTGATATAATGATACTGGCAAAGATCTCACCTTGGGAGACAGTAGGAGGTCAAACTGGGGTGTGAGATAGAACTTGATTCCTAACCATGCCCCTTCAAGGGTCACCCCACGAATCAGAAGCATGATCAGAATGAGGTAAGGAAATGTGGCCGTGAAATAAACAACCTACAAGAAAACAGGGGCATTTAGTTGCGGCAGCTCTAAAAAGATACTGTGTACCCTGTAAACAACCCCAGAACTCTTGTATTCTTCCATAGATTTACACTACTGCCATATGCAAAATATTTTTCACAGAGCCATAACATGAAATGATAGAAATGGAGGAAGCCATAAAGACCTTCTAGTCCAGCATCCTGCCTAATACAAAAAAATCCAGAAAGAAAACGTGTCATCCTATGCTTGAAGAACTCTAGTGAGCCTATTCATCGTTTCCATGATCAAACTTCTTTGACTCATTAGATGTCTCATTTAATAATCAAGTGAAATCTTTCTTTCTGTGTTTTAATCCAATTAGGTCTAGTACGATCCATTTGTGAAGCATTATGACGGTATTTTAAGGTATATTATGACTTTTTGCAAAAATGGTCAGGGCCCATAGGTGATGCTGGAGTACTGCATTTTCTCTCAGTCCTCCACAACTGTTAAAGTATACTGCTGAAATAAGTTGAAACAATCAGGAGTGGATTTGGCACAGAAGTAACGTGAGATTCATTTCTGAGCTCAGGTTTGTGGATTATGATATTTTTTTGCCACAGTAGATGATCTAAGAATTCATGGGGGGGGGGGGAGTTGACCCTGTGGAAAAATAAAGTTAAAGATGCT